CTCTCTCTCTCTCTCTCTGAAACAAATGCACTCACTGAACACAACAGTGCAGTAACACTGTCTGATTCTGCATGCAGGGGCATTTCTACACATTATGTTCCACTGTGAGCTTAAAAGCAGCAGGCTGGCAACACCGCACAGTGGGTTCAGTCATTCAACATGACACACAATAGTGAGGTTTGAATAAAACACAGCACACAGCTATAATCTAGCTCATACCGGCATTAATGTGATATTGTAGTAATGCCCAATTAGCACTTATTGAGGTCAGAGGTCACAGCCAGCTGCGGGAGAGGGAGAATCAGATGCTGCACCACAATTCCAAACTACATATTGAACACGCACATATAGTAATTGTCAGTGTGCAGTTTTTGCAATTAGTATACCAGTAAGCAGCATCTGTGCTCAGTCAAACAAACAGCATCCTCTGAATATGTTTTTGCATTCCAAGATATTTCTGGAGCCATCTCTCCACAATTCATTTTAGTTGTCAGCTGTAGCTAGCATCTTCATTTTCTTTATACACGGCGTCGCTGAAGAACATGGAGATAGTTGCAGAAAGTGTCCAACAGCACCATGAAAACACTCTCCATTTCCAAAAACTTGCTTAAAATGAGTACGCAGCATTGAACTTGGACGCAGCTAAAGTCAGTACAGTGGTGACACACAATGGCGGATGCCCGCTGCAGGTGGTGAGAAGAACACAGCTCTTCTGGTTAAAGCAAAGTTTCTGTAACCACAACACCACACTGTTGCCGAGGGGCAGAGGCAACGGCAGCCTGTCAGCGATGTGGTGAGGGAACAGTTGATAAGTGTGAGCAGGCAGGGCAGGAACCGGCCTGTGGATAATGTGATCAATCACTAAGTTGCGCACCAGCCAGTGAACGCAGTATATTGTGATATTACTCAGTCCATGACAGAGACACGCTAAGAATGAAAAGCAGCCAGTAAAAGTGATCTGAGAGTCAGTCTCTTTGGCGTAATGGATATTGCGTGATGCTATTTCCCTGCTTCTTATACAGCGCTGTTGTGCGGGGAAGAGAGAGTATTTTCATTGCTTCCCTTTATATGCTTTAGCAACACAAACATGTCATGTCAATAAAGCTAATTAAAATGTAACAGCAATAAACAGAAGACTCCATACTGCAGCTTGCCACAGTTTGACAAAAAAAAAAAAACGGCTGTTAGCTATTTAAAAAAGGTATTTTTAACATTTCTGCTTATCTATAAAAAAAAAACATTAAATGACAGAATTAGTGTATTCCATTTTAAAACTGAAGAGAGGTTAATAATCTGTCCCTAACTTTAATAGCTTCACTCATCAGCAGCACCTAGTTAAATAATTAGGCAATTCATCACTGTCAAATGAGCATGGCCTCTGTGTCTCTACCCAAACAGCCTATTCAGAAAAAACAGCCCTTTGCACAGATAGATAGATAGATAGATAGTCCTATGTTGATCAAATAGAATTGTACGTCCAGCAGACTCATCCATTCTGTTTAAGATTGTGTCTTAGAGCAAGACACTGGATCCCTCCCAGCTCCAGTTGTGAATCTGACCCTGACCTTCGACCTTGCTCTGGAGGGAGAAAGACAACAGAGCTTCCCAGACACCAATTCTATTAAATAAGTATGACAAAACCGAAATGAGAGGCAGTGCTTTGAACTCCAGTAAATATACACTATTTTATGCATATCAAACGGTAACAATGTATAGCCTTGTCACCATTACTATTTCATTCTAACCACAAGTCTTTTAATTAAACTTAATTACCTTTCAATTAGCAGGGAAGTTTTAATTAAAGGTGTCAGTACACCACTGACAACAAACTAAAATTACAGTCTGTAATGATCCAGAGAGCGGATGTGATCGAAAGAAATGATTAACACTGGAATGTAGTTTCCTTCAATGGCTGCGTTAATTAACTGGAGCCCAATAAAGCAATTAATTACCACTTAATTGGCAGGGCAAGGTATACGAGTACACACAGAGAGGAGATAGCTAAAGTAATCAACATACAACACCACAAACGTGGCGTTCGTCTCGTCTACTTATTTCCTTGCTTACCTTGTTGGTCCCAAAGGCCGGGTCAGGGTAGGAGAGCTGCCCCAGCCTGGTGTGGTCTGACGCGGCCAGAGGCTGAGGAGGAGGCGGGTAAACTGTTACATCCATGGCTGAAAATACATCCACTTCTCCGTCTGTCCTCTTCGACTTTCTTTCTTCTCTTATCTCGGTGTGTGTCAAAACCACTGAGGTAGCTTTTTATACAAAGTTAATAGGTTTTTTTTTTTTTTTTCTGGTGAGTCCCTGAGTGACCAAACAGAGGAATGACCACGGTCCAATGAGACAGGCTTGTTTTAGAGAATAAAATCAACGCTTCAAGCTGAGAAATACGCCTAAAGCAAGCGTATGGAATCAGTGAAGTTTAGGTTGGGGTTCTCCTCTCCACACCGGCTCTCAAGCTCCAATAACTGCTGCTGTGAGCAGCAAACTTCCCGGTAAACCAACTTCTTTAGTACCTGACGTTATAAAAAAAAAAACGTAACTTTGTTTGCGTCGTTTTTCCTCCGTTTAACGTCGTGTGTGTCCCGTGGCGGTGCGTGGTTCGGACAGGGGACGTTGCTGGACCCTGTCTGTCCCTGGTTGGGACTCTGTGTTTTAATGCTGCTGCTGCGCGTGTGCTCGGTGCTGCTGTGGTACCTCGCGGACCACTCATACAAAGAGCTCCAGCGTCAAGCTAGCAACAGTTAGCCGCAACGAAGCCGGAAGTGCACTTTCTCATAAAATAAAAGCACAGATTCTGTCAGGAGAAAAACAAGAGCACGGGAAGGACAAAGCAAACACAACTTATTCACACCGTCCACGAATCATTACATTAACTACAACGAGACGCTTTATTGGCGCGTTGTTTGAAAAAAATGCAGAAGCAAGAGATTTTATTTGAGAGTAACGTTAAGCATTACTTTCAGTTTCCTTCCACCTTGACAAAGAGGATGAGCGGCGGCAGTGTGCTCCATCTAGAGGGGGAGAGAGTGTCAAAAGGTCCAGCCAGCTGTTTCTGCAGCCTAAATAAAGATTGCTTGTCAGAGTGGATGTATGTTTCAGTTAAAATGATTAATTAATGCTTTCAGACAACACAACAGTAAACATTCAAAAGAAAAAAAATAGTTATTTTATACTGATGTGTCTGCTTTTCCTTTGTACCTACCTGCGCAGAACCTGCTCCCTAAAGCCTCAATAAGCCTAAAACCCCAGGTGCTTTGTGTGTCAGTTGGTAATTTGATAACTTTCTTACAATTTCCACCACCAAAATAAAATATCGGCAAAACAATTTAAAGGACCAGTGTGTAGGATTTAGTGGCATCTAGCAAGTTGCATAATGCAAGTAACTGAACACCGCTGGCGTCTGTTTTTGTCAACCTGAGCATGAGAACAGTGTAGGGGAAACTATGGTGGCCACAAAACTCGCAAAAAATCATCCTAAATGTTACACACTGGACCTTTAATTTATATTGTGCCCACATAGTGCATTAACTTAAAGCTAGGGTAGGTGATGTTTTTCAGAAGCATCTTTTCTTATATTTGTTGACATTTTGTTTATATCCTGACAGCAATCAATAAATCAGGCTGTTGTGCTCCTGTAATCTACCTGTCTACTTTTCACACATTTTCATGAGTTCACTGTTCACTGTGTGAAAAGTGGCTTTGGAGGGAGGCCTGAAGGGAGTGGGTGGGATTTCTTTGGTTCGATGCTTAAAAAATCTAGCTGTGTCTTGTTAGTTTTTCCAATGCTACCTAACCCTAGCTTTAAATAAAGTTGTGTTCAAGCAAATTACCACAAACAACGTGGAAAAATTATTGCAGTGAATCTACAGGGACATGTATAGTCTGCTGTAGTCATTGTATTTGGAGGCAACATACTGTACAGTATACACAGACAGCTGGAGGTGAGGTGGGGGGGTTATTTGGGTCCAACAGCAAATTTCCCCCCAGCACTGCCTAACAAGTTAATTCAGCTGAGGCTCATACTGTCTTGTGTTTCAGTTTTACATCTTATCATCTTTTTAATTCCTGCACATCTACAGAAGCGTCTGCTCAGTTTTCTTCCACCAGCAGTCTTGCGTCTCCCCCTCCCCAAGGTTGTTGAGTCACATCTTCTTGCCTGTCAACAGTTCCTCTTGCAATACAAGCTATCATTTGACTTCCAGCACAACAGATCCATTAACCTCTCTTGGGGCACTAGAGCCATGATCAACAGTCTTCCAGCCGCTTCCAGCTTTCTCTGTGCAGCACCAAGCACTGCAGAGGCTGCTGAAGACCCATCTGTCCATCAAGCTGAAGATCCACGCTGTTGTGTCCTTTCTTGGATATGTCCTCGCTTGCACCAACAATGAGATCAATAAGAACGAGCTGTGTGTGTTTGAGAAATGGACCCAGCCAACGACATTCTGCTGTCATGAATACAGGCCTCGCAAAGACCACCTAATGCTTCCAACTTCAACTAACAACTGATGTAGCTGAGTTATGATAAATGTGTGGTTGGGGCAGGCCATAACACTCACTGTCCACCACTCTCTTTGGTCCTACACCATTAGGATGTCATTATTTTAATGCCACATTGTGTTCCAACAGCTGCTGTTCCCTCAACAAAAAACTCATCTGGTATCTAGTAAAGACGTGATTAAGGCTTATGTTCCTTGTTGTTCACCATGTCTCCTGTCGAGGGAAAGCTGTAAGATGAGACACTTTAAGGTATATATGTGCATTTACAGTGAGTTTGAAGTATCCAGTCTTGGAACCCGTTGGCTATTTTCTGACGACAATTTAGCCTTTGGGGCACTGGCCAATGTTACAGAGACTTCCTTTTGATACACAACAATGATGAGAAAGACAAATTTCAGCCAATCTGAAATAATAAATAAATAATAAATGAATCATTGTCAGACGATAATCGATGGGTTCCGAAATAGCATTTCGGTCAATGTGTTCCGCCTCTTTTGCTCTCCACACTGACCTTTTACCTGCATGGAACCAAAGCCCACTCAAATGCTTCTGAGGCAATCAGAAGCATTTTGAAATCTTGGTCCCTTGCCTACAGATCAGTTCATGGAGATAACTATGTAGTTACTAGAAGACTAGTATAAGGTGCTCAAACACCTGCCAACACGACCTCTGTTGCTTACAATGCTCGCTCCATCCTTCTCATCTGATAGAAGGACAACATATGCACTCTGTTCGCCACATCCTGGGCTCTCTCTGTGCAGACCTGTGTTCAGTAATTGGGGGACTTAAAAGGATTACCAGCCACAACAGCGTGTGCCCGCAGTGGACATTCTTGTTCAAGACTTCATCGGGGAGTTCAGACAACTCTTTGTGTTTTGCACTTAAGCTCCCAATATGCTTCATGAGAACTGTTTGTTGGAGGGTTGAGTAGCTTCAGAAACCCCAGACACCTTTCCAAGGTCGTATTGAAGGGGGCGTCTGACAATTTCTGTAACTTTCCAACCTACACTATGCTCTGATTGTCCAGCTGTGCAGGCTGAAGCAGGAGCCAGTTTTTGAACTTCTCTTTCTAGCTCTCTTTTTTTTCTATCTGACAAAACTATTTCTGTCGCTTTTCATGTCAACAACCAAATTCAACACTATGAATGCCTTCCAGGATATTTAAGCAATATTGCATCTACCTCCTTCCTATGACAGTCGGCCTTCCAGTGTGTGCCTTTAGAAGAGGTTGGACACAACTTGTAGTATGAACTGGTTCCTTTGAGCACAACCCAGCCCTTAGCGTCAGTAATGCCTTCAAGAGGAATATCACAAATAATGACATGGATTCATGTTGTTAATACATGATTTTTCCAGTTGGATTCAAAAATTTGGTTCAGCCAATTTCTTTTGCCCCTCCTGAAATAACTACGATAAAATAGGCAACACTCTGAGGTGTTTAACATATGTTGCCCCAACCCCCAGGGTTCTATCAGAACTTGAGGGTGTAGTTACCCTCTAACTTTATGCGATGACACCCTGGGTGGAATGGATTGTAGTTTCTTACATTTAATCTACAAAGTTTGTATTTATTTCACTCAAACCACTGTTGCTGCTTCTGTTGATGTAAAATGTGAAAGTTCTTGAATATTGTTTGTAGAATAAATTAATGTGCTTGCGTTTTAAACAGCAAACACAAGAGCCTTCAGGCTATAGGTTAAACCAGTATTGTTTGGTACCTTTTTGACTTTCCAGTGTCATCCTACAGTTAAGTTTGATTTGTGTATCTTGCTCATTTAAAATCTAAAACGCTATGTTACAGGCTTTAATTCAGTTTCTGAAAAAGAATAAATAGTTGTATAATTCAAGTCATTTAAATCATTAACAGGAGCAACCATGAATGATCTAATGTGGGGGGAGATATAGTAGATGGAACAATAAAACAGACCGTGTGTTTGTGAAGTAGAATGATGATCTTTAATGACAGAACAACATATTTCCATTATCAAGAGATACATACATGTACACAGATGTACAAAAACAAAGAGATTCTCTCCAACCCACTCACACACACACACACACACACACACACATGCATGCATGTTCACATCACTAATTCACACACATACAGTACACTTAAACAGATGGTCACACATGCATCAAATATAAAAATTCACTTACACACATAAAATACCTGCAGACAATTATACTCTATAGTAACACATCTGCACATATATGCATATCTATACAGTCCACACACACATACATTGGGGATACACACACATACTGCAGAGTTTATACACATACAAAGAGGTATAATAAAATGCGCTTTCTGTTTCTCATGCATTCTCAAACACTCTCTCTCACTCTCTCTCACTCTCTCTCCTTTTTCTCACACAGACACACACACCACAAACCAGCCCACACATGCTTAGTGAACATACATACAGTGTGTGATCCGCCCATCCCCCACATACACACATACATATATGCACCCCTCCCCTCTGAAAAAGGCATAATTCACTTCTACATTCTCCTCCCCCACACACAGCTCCTATCTATAAAACTACACACACAGTATACGCACTAAACCACACACATTATGCACTAAACCAATCACACCAAAAACATACTTATACACTGAAAGAGACACACACACACACACACAGATATACACAGATGCATGCACACAGAACTGCAAACGTATACACACCATGCCTGTGCTGCACCATATATGTATGTCAACATATATATACATATATATAAAACACATGCACAAGCAAACCAACTCACACACACTCTCTCTCTACCTAGCACAGTTCTCCGATTTCCATGCATAAGCTTTCCAACATATCTGATGGGTGGAAATAGTAATGTACTGTAGTATTTGAATGATGTGTGTCTCTTCATGTTGGGGGATTACATTATAGATTCATAGCACAGCAATCCACTCCTGGGTAAAAACACCCAGCCCTTTAGCTATTATAGCTTTCCGCAGCGAGGGAGATGAAGATGCCAAAAAAACACGAGTATATCAGCAAAAAGGAGTTTATTAGATAGAAAAAGCCAAAATATAAAAATATAAGAGCAAAGAGCAACATTTCGTGTTAAATAGAGTTTCTAAGATGCTCTTTTTCTATGCTTGGGTTATTCAATACCTGGAAATTAACATAAAGCTCTGAAACAGCTCAGTGTCT